TTGGTCGATAAAGATAATATCTAAATCCTTTCTAAACTAAATTTATTGTTCATGGTCTTATATGAACTAGCTCTTTCACGTTTAATGATTTCTAACCCACCCTACGATCCTTATTCTATCTTTACCTTATACCACCAGTCCATTATTGTCGATAATGATATTCCTTCTTTATCAGGTTTCAAATCGAAATTTTTATAATTACTCAATAGTGATTCTTGGGATAAGTATTATGGTCCAATAAGAAATTGACTCAATGCTTTTCGTATTATCCGAATTTTGAAGATTTCACGAAGAATTTGAGAACCATCAGGATATTCATCAAGAATATTGCTTAGATTAAATTCTTCACCATTTCTTGCATATTTATGAATTAAGGCAACACTTTAATCAAAATTTATTCGAATTGATTTACGGGTTCTTACTTTTCTTTCTTAATCTTTACATATTTTATAGTATCACTTGGGCCTAAAAAAAAATCAAAATCAGATTGATATTATAAATCAGACGGTTATGTAAAATATAAAAAATAAATCAAATGTATTTACCATTTTGAAAAAGCTAAGTTTTTCTTTTTTATCGGGCTCTTCCTTTTCTTTCTTAATCTGTTCTTTTTTTATAAGTTTGATAGTGCCACTTGGGCCTAAATACAAAAAAATAATAAATATACGTTCATGTAAAATATTACAAATAAATAAAACATAATTACTTACCATTGGGAAAAAATAAAAGTCCATTGTTGACACCTTTTTTGAGCTAATCGGAGACGTTTGTTTGTAAGATTGTTGTCGGGAAGTTTATATGTAATCAAAATGTAATTTTTAATATCTTGACGGCTATTATTAATGAATGAACAAATTATGTGAAATTTATTAGAAAGAGAAAAAACTTTGAAACATATGAACTAAAAAAGTATTCATAACCTGCTTCCTTTACGTTCATTCAAAAGCGACGATAGCTTCTGAAAATTATTAGTAAATTAATAAAAAGTTTTTGATGCGCATTTCTTTTATTTATTTTTTAATCAAGAAAACATTTTCTGAAGTATTTCGTCGGTTCTCGTTTTGAAATTAACAAAAAGCAAGTGACTTATTTCATAACTATACCTTGAATCATAAATTCGTATTTCGGATGGCTTGCTATCTCTTTTGGATTTACTTGACTTGAGCTCTCTTTTGCAATTGTTTCCGTTTCGGTGAAAAAAGAAAAAGAGTTATTTTCCAGTTTTTTTTGTGATCGTTGCATCGATCAATTTTTATTTTTTATTAATGATATTTATTTTCTGCCTTATTATTATTATAGCCGAACTAAGAAAATGTGCTTTTATTTTTATAATTTGAAGAAATTATATTTATCGGCTGTTGTCTTTTAAAAAAAAAATTAAAATCTTTTGTGATAAATACGTTGGTTAAACGATTTTATAAATTGTTTCTTTTTAAATTTTTTTTTTTTTTTAATAAAAAAAATACTTTATTCACATCGAATTAAATTATTCTTTTTTTAATTAGATGGGAAGATTTTCTAGATACTTTTTCGTTTATTGATAGAATTTTGTAATTTAAAAATAGTTACTTTAAACGAATCGTTTATTGAATATTATTTAAACAATTACAACTTTTAAAAGTACGTTAAATGCTT